TGGCTTGGCAGGGTTCAAGATGATACGCACTGGTTCAGCACTCAGCATGTGCCCCACTTCATTTGCATGGGTGGACCACAGCTGTGGAGGTACTCGTGCCAACAGTTCCTCTTGCAAGTAGGAAGTGTCAGGTTCAGAGTACTCCTGGGTTAGCAAAGCCACAAGCTCAGTTTCCCTATGTTCTGGTACCTCAAGGTAAACACCATCTGGGCTACAATAAATCACGCATCCCAGTTTACACAACAAATCCTTACCAAGAAGGTTGACAGGTGCACAGGGGCTAAGAAGAAAGGCATGATTTTCAGACAAAGGGCCAATAGAGATGGAGACAGGTTCAGAGACGGGATGTGGGATAGGTTGTCCGCCTATACCGACAGCATTTATAGTTTCAGGAGAATAAGGTAGAAAAGGAAACTCAGCAGCCTTTAGCGTGGAGCGGGATGCTCCGGTGTCGACAAGACAGGAGACAGGTTTACCAGAAATAAGGCATTCAACAAACGGACCAGATTGGTCAGTAGCAAGCAAAGGAGCGATGATGTCACTGTCCCTCAGGCTGTCCTATTCAACACTGGGAAAATTGACAGGAAGTGGAGGTGGGGGCAGGGACTGGGGTCTGGGTCCTTGGCCGGGGCGCTTGGGGCATTCTGATTTCCAATGTCCTTCTTGCTTGCAATAATGACATTGGTTCCCATAGCCTGGGTTTTGTGGGCTCAAGGATCTATCTCTTCCCCTGAATCTACCCGGGCCTCCCCTTCCCCGTCCTCGTCCCCTTCCTCTACCTGGACCCTGCAACTGAGAAATCTGTAAGGCCATTAACTTAAACTCGGCATTGTCTTTAGACCGTTCCAATTTGTTATGAAAATGGTTAGCCGCAGCAAGGACTTCAGTCAAATCTTTAGTTTCCCAGCCAATAATTACTGTTTGAATTTTCTCAGCAATTTTAGGGTTAAGTCCCTGGATGAATGCTGCCACTATTGCTTGTTTAGCATTTCCGACTGGGTTATCCATTCCTGAGTATCGTTCAAATGCCTGTTTGAGGCGTTCCAAATAGTCACTGGGGTGTTCATTTTTGTTTTGTTTACAGGTATTTATTTTGGTCCAGTCTGCCTTTTTTGGGCAAATTGTGAGAACTGCCTGAACCAAAGCATTTCTCTTGTCAATAAAGTCTTGGCCAATCCCTGGGTTTTGATCTGGCCAAGTACAGGCAGCATACAGACGTAGCATAGTTTCCTTGGGCAAAATCGATCGCATGAGCTGATTAATGTCAGCCCATGTTGGATTATAACAATTTATAACAGTCTGCAATTCTTCCTGAAATTTTTCTGGGTCTTCCCTGATTTTGGGGAATTTTTGAGTTAAATTGTAGAGATCACCTGGAGTCCAGGGTGCATGCACGGTTACTATATTTTGTCCATCGGTGCCAATGCCTGGCATTTGTCTTAGGGGGTAAACTTGTGCAGCTCGGGATCTAAGATTGATGGGAGATCTTTCCATGCCTATTCCCATTCTTCTAAATACACCTGTGGTGGGTTGTGACCCAGGAGTAAATTGCCACACTGGTGATGATTGAGTGGCAGATATGGTGGATGAGTCCAGACTATTAAGCTCCGTGGATGGATTTACTGAAGGAGCTTCAGCTAATGAGTTACTAGCCTGGGCTGCAGCCTGATGTTGAACCGGTTGTTGCTGATGTGGGAGTCCCAGGAGAGCAGGGTTCGAACAAAGGTCAAGGATATCCTCTGCTGGCTCCGGTGGTGGGGGCGCCCCGGGCAATGCTGGATACATCGGAGCGGTGGCCGGCGTGTAATTTGGGGGAGCAGCCAATTTCTCCCGAACAGCTTGTAACTGCTGTTTTAATTTTTCTTGAGAGTCTTTTAGGCTCCTAGTTTGAGATTCTGTCCGCCTTTTGGACATTTCATCATACCAATAAAAGAACGCGTCCCACTGGTTTTGTGGTGTTTTGGATCCACGGGACTCTAAAGCCCCTCTTAAGTGCACTATTTTATCCTGATCAAATGTTCCTTCTTGTGGAAAATGCTTCACAGGATCATCCCTAGTATACCAGTTCCACTTATCCAGGTACTTGCAAGCCTCGGGAGAATAGTGTGTGTACATAAAGTACGCCGGAGTCCCCTTAGGGGGGACGGGAACTTGTTTAGACTGACTCGTTCCCATTTTCAGTCACACAGGGAGACGTAGGAGAGGCTTATTTAGGATGTCCGGGCCGCTCAGTGCCTTGCCCCGCAGTTTTTCACTGCCCAGACAAAAGGCTTCTGACCCGACACCGGCTCATAAAATGGAAATGGGAATGGGAAACACAAGAGGAATCCTTTCACTCCTGCTCTCGGCAGAAGCTACTGGGACAAGGGGTTTGGAAAAGACAAAATCACTCAGACGCCCTGTCCACTGGGTCACGAGGTTTCAGCTGGGCCCCCTTGCTTTCGACGCTACCTTTTTTAGGCAGAATCGGGGCGGCTAGACCCAGCCTTAGTCCCAGACCTGGTCAGTGGCTCATTTTTCTAAATGCACACACACACATTTATTCAATCACTGGGAAGCCCTGTCCACTGGGTCACGAGGTTCCAGTTGGGCCCCCTTGCTTTCAAAACTGCCCTGTCAGGCAGAATTGGGGCGGCTGAACCCAACCGTAGTCTCAGACCTGGTCAGTGGCTCATATTTCTAAATACACACACATGCACATTCATTCAGTCAGCCAGACCTCCTCCCCCACACCGCCTTAGTTAATTAACGACAAGCCCGATGTGCTGTAGGATGAAGGTGCTTCATACAGTTTCTCCCTAAATAAAACGTACGTTACCAGACACAAAATGGGATCCTTTACCAGACAGAAAATTTTAGCCGGCAGTAAGGTTCAGACTGACCTGTTTTAACAAGGTTCAGATCCAGTTACCACGGCCAAGTTGGGAGCCTACAGGCAGTCCTCCTCCGAAACCCCAATAGAGATTTTGAATTAGGTCTCTTACCTCTCAAGTTTGGCGCCTCGGGGTTCGGGGGGGCAGTCTGCGGTCCTCCTTTCTCAGCCTGTGTTCTGGATCCGAGTCACGGCACCAGGAATTGTCGTGGAAACACACGCAGCATACTTTTGGGTCAGGTCAGCAGAAGCTTTTATTTAAAAGAAACTACAGCTGTAGGGGGGACTCCAAAGTGACATGGATCTCCCAAGCACTTGGAAGGGGTCCCCCCCCAAGAGCAAAATCAGGAGGCTTATATACTTTTTAACAGTTGCTTACAACTCACGTGATCATATAGTGAAATTAGCATGAAAAGCGGCTATAACATTACTTCATTATTTCTTTGCTGTAATCAGGATGGGAACTAATGGGGGAGGCGAGGTTAGTTCACAAACCTCCTTCTTGCACCTGCAAATCAGAGTTGTACATATTTTTTGCTATCTTCAAGGCCGCGGTGAGCGAAGCAGTTGCAGAGGAGTTACAAAGAACAAACACTTTCTCTTATCTGTTCTACTATACAGAGCCAGCAATTCTCCACAAAGCGGTTATGTCATCTTATAACTAAAATAGTCAAAGTTTAAGGCGCATATTTTTTCTGATTCCACACCCTGTTAACTGGGCTTGGATTTGGGAGAGAACCACTGGGAAACTGGATCCTGAAAGTCACTAGGGAACATCAGCACTGTGCACTGACCCGCCTGTCTACCCCCACTGTGGAACACCTGGACCTAGACTTGTTCTCTTAGGGGCCCAGAGTGCCAAGGCCCAGGCCTGCTTTGGGGCCCATCCCAGCACTGGGGATTATCCTTTTGCCAGCAGCACACAAACTAATGTCTGGGTTTTCCTCTCCATCCAGCAGGTGTCAGAACTCCCAGCAGAGATGAGCAGCAGCCTCTTGAGGAAGGGTCTTCAAATCTGGAGCTGGTTCCAGTCCAAAGCCAGTTACCTGCACAAGGAACAACTGAGCCCCAAAAGAACCCTTTGTGTGGAAAAAGATTTGGATCTCACAGCCGCTTGAGTCAGAAAGGCAGAGCTCAGAAAGGGGAAGCAATGTACCAATGTAGGGAGTGCAGTGAGAGCTTCAAGGACCAACAAGAACTCAGGGCGCACAGGGGGACCCACAGGAGAGAGACAGCCCACCCCTGCGCTGAGTGTGGGAAGAGTTTCCGGTACAAATACCGTCTCGTTGCTCACCAGAGAACGCATTCTGGGGAGCGCCCCCACCTCTGCCCTGAGTGCGGGAAAGCCTTTGCCCGCCCAGAGTACCTCCGTGTGCACCAGCACATCCACACTGGGGAGAAGCCATACCACTGTGCTGAGTGTGGTAAGAGCTTCGCCTTCCCATCCGAGCTCCAAGTCCACCAGCGTGTCCACACAGGGGAGAAGCCACACCACTGTACCCAGTGTGGGAAGAGTTTCACCCGCCCATCGCACCTCCGAATTCACCAGCGCATCCACACTGGGGAGAAGCCATACCGCTGCACTGAGTGTGGGAAGAGCTTCAGGGAGAGCTGTTTTCTCACCAGGCACCGGCGTGTCCACACTGGAGAGAAGCCATATTGCTGCACGGAGTGTGAGAAGAGCTTCGACAACCCATCCCACCTCAGCATCCACCTACGCACCCATACAGGGGAGAAGCCGTACCACTGTGCTGAATGTGGGAAGAGCTTTGGGTATCGTTCTGCTCTCACCAAGCACCAGCGCATCCACACTGGGGAGAAGCCCTATCACTGCAGTGACTGTGGGCAAAGCTTCACCAGCCCATCCTCCCTTCGTGTCCACCAGCGTGTCCACACTGGGGAGAAACCATACTGCTGCACTGAATGCGGGAAGAGCTTCACCAACCCTTCCAATCTCCGTGTGCACCAGCGTGTCCACACAGGGGAGAAGCCGTACCAGTGCACGGAGTGTGGGAAAAGCTTCACTGACCCCTCCCACCTCCGTGTTCACCAGCGTGTTCACACGGGGGAGAAGCCATATAGCTGCAGTGAATGTGGGAAGAGCTTCAAACACCCATCCCACCTCCGTGTCCATCAGCGTGTCCACACGGGGGAAAAGCCAAACCAGTGCAAGGAGTGTGGGAAGAGCTTCAAGTCTAGCTCTGCTCTTTCCCAGCACCAGCAGGCCCACAGACCAGGCCCTCTTTGTCAAGGGTCAGTTTCTGCCAGTTCTCACTTCATTCTCCTTCCCACAACCTATACCTTGGTGCAGGGGTGGGGGAAGGTCCAGCATCTGGCCTGAAATAACTTCACTTCCCCATACACCAGGCTGTGGGTTTATATGCTCCTGGAAATGGGAGAGGGAAGCAAGGATTTGAGGCTTGGGGGGTGCTGTTCTGCAGAGTACAGTTTGGGGAGGGGCAATGTATTGTGAGGGTGCAGAGTAATTGGAAGCCCAGCAGCAGCAGCACTCTGTCCGGTCAGAAGAGGAGTGAGGGGAGAAAGTGTGTGGTGTGATGTGGATGGGCTGGCCATGCGCGATCCTAGCATGAAACAGTAGGGGGTAGAGGAAACAGGAGGATTTTGACTGGTTTTGAGTGATGGGTTCTGGCAGCCAAGCAGATCTGGACCTGGATGGGAGAGTAGCAGGAACCGTGACAATGAGGGCCTCCCTGGAAGAAACACAGGGAAAGATGGGGACATGGGCAGGCCTGAAATCACTTCCAGGTAATGCAGGGATATCAAATTCATCTCCCCTTGGGCAGATCAGGACTCCCTTGTGCCCCATGCAGCATGGGTACAGTCCATGAGCCACATGCAGCATTTGCTTGCCCTACTCCAGTGCTTTCACTTCATGCAGTGTGCAGGCTAGACCCAATGCTGCACACGGCACAGGGGGTCCAGGGCACAGGCTGCAGGCTGCATCCATGCTGGACTGGCTCTATATGCTGGCTCTGGGGCTAGTCCAGACTGGCCCCCAAGCTGTCTGTCTACTGGAATCGGCACACAGAGCTGCCATCTGAACAGCAAGCCCTGGGGCTGGCTTCTGCTTTAATGATGAACAAAGCAGAGAGAAGTGGTAGTCTGACATCATCAAAATGCCTTCATATTTAATTTGCGGTACTTTTATTCTCCCACCAACAAGCTCTGCTCGCTGGACTGGCTCCTGTCAGTCCCCATGAAACCCTTGGTACAGCCAGTTACAGCTGACTTCTACCCATGGCCTTGCTGTCTGAGACAGCCTCATGGGAAATGTAGTGACCTGGTCCCACTTGCTCAACATAAAAGTTGTAGGAGCCTGGGAGAAAGGGACCTGTGACTGAAGATTCTTGAGGGTCATTGGACTGCGGAGACCCCAGGGCCCTGGAGCTGATGCTTATTCTTTTGGGAGCAGGGGTGGGATGTGGAAAAGACTGACAGCCACTCAACAGCCCCTGCTAAGAAGCATGAAGCACTGACGCCATTAACAAATTTTGTATATAAACTGATTATAAACTGATATAAAAATGTAATTTTCTAGTGTCCTTATCCAGAAATGAACCTGCGGTGGTAGTTGTGCCCATAGAAGCACCGAATGATTTTTTTTTTCTTCTGCCTGTGTCCTGGTGCTGTGTGATTATATCATGGTCTATTTGTACTCCTTTCATTGAATCATCTTGTGTGGGTACTGTGGCATTTAAGTGATGGTGATCTTTATGGCCCAGTTAACTTGGCTGAAAGATGGATGATGGGAGGAAAGGGACTGGGAAAGCTGCCTGTAGATCAAGGCAGGAAACTATCCCTGTGAGATCTGGGTTCTTCCAGGCAGTGAGCATCTGTCCAGCAACCACCCTTCCATGAAACAGTTGGTTTGCACTGGTCTTGTTCACTTTCCTAGAGCCCAGAAAACTCAGCTTTCCTATCCGGAGAGGAGAGGAGTATGGCCTGTTGTAGGACAGTGGTTGAAACCCCTGCATAGAAGGAACAAGGTGCTTATAGAAGTCCTGTTTGATGGTGCAGGAGGGGAATTCGTGGGAACTCTAGCCACCTTCACCTCCTGCTTTTGGTTCAGAAAAAAACAGGCTCTGTTGGGAAGAAAGTGGGTGCTGTGATGTAGGTCTCTGCCTATCTGCCTAGATCTCTTTTCCCTCACAGAGAGGAGGGCAGGGATTACTCTACACAAGGCCAGGAGCAGCTGCTGCACACATTCAGATTCTGCACTGCACAGATCCTGCACTGGAGCAGTCCCCAACTGCTTTAAGAGACTGCAACCAGTCCCCAGGCAAACAAATCTCTCCCCATATACCATCAAACTGCTGAACACA